ACTCCTCGGAATGCTCCATTGAATATGACATACCATTTGATGCTTTTTCTGTCGTCTTCTTCGTAGTGGGAATCTTTTGTTTCTTTTTCTTCTTGTTCAACGATATCTGCCCATCGTGTCGTCTTTTGTATATTATTGCTGGTAGTGGTGGATGATTGTGTTGCTGTCGACTTTTCTTTTTCAGCAGGTTCTGTGGTGAGTGTTGATGGCTTTACACTAGTGGAGCTAGTTGTTAATGTACTGACGTTGATGTAGTTGATTTTTAACTGTTGCTGAATGACGTCGATTGATTGAATTATTGCTTCTTCCTCCCCCCTGCAAAGGAGAAGTTGTTGTTCCAGTGCTGCACTCTTTTCCTGCTTCTGCCTTAGTTGATTGATGAGGGTTTTTATGAATCCTTCCATTCTCGAGTCAGTGTGTCTGTGAAGGGATTGTTGCTGGACTTGATATACTTCAGATAAGGATTGTAATAATGGAGTTGTTGCTGCCACCTGATTAATCTCCCTTTGTTGAAATCTGCCTGAAGCTTGTACCTCCAAAAACCTGTTACATATTTAGAGTCGGTTTGAAGTTCAAACCTTGTAGATAATAATTCAAGCTTCCATTTTTTCAATGTTCTGAGACAGGCTAGTGTCTCTAATTCGTGGATCGGATAGTTCTGTTCAGTGGCGGTAAACGTTCCAGAAATATATTTACATAATTTCTTAGAATATTTATCACTGTTGAAAGGAACTGATGATTGAGAACTTGAAAGTTCAATAATATTGTCCGAAGACTGATAATCTTTAGGCTCTTGGCCAGAGACAGTAGCCTCGTTATTGTCTATTTTGACATTACCAAAATTGTCCATTTGTAATAATTCATTACCATTTTGTATTGCTAACATACACCCTGCCCAAGTGTCCTTAGAGGCATCCGTTTGAATTATTAGAAAATCGTTTTCACAAGGGTTATATAATTTTGGTAAATGCTGACATTTTTCCTTCATTAATAAAACTATTTTTGTATCTTGATCATTCCATGACCAAGGGATTTTGTCAGAAATCTTTTTTTGTAAATGTTTTCTTTCTTTTGCTAAATCTTTTAAAAATCCTTGTTCGCTTATATAATTTAAGCATCCAAGAAAACGTTGAATTTGTTTTCTATTTTCAAGTTGGTTTGGGAATTTATCGATTTTTTCCTTAGTGTTTGGTGACAACTCAATTTCACCCAAATTATTAATCTTCATACCAAGATATTCAATTTCTCTTTGAAGAAGTTTTGATTTCTTCTTAGAGATAATTAGACCTTTTTCTTTTATTCTCTGTAAAACTATCAAGATTTTTTCACGATGGTCTTCTTCTGATTGATTTGTGAAAATAATAATATCATCAATGTATGCCAAACAGAACGATTGAAAACCTTCTAATACATGATCCATAAACCGTTGGTAAATAGCTGGTGCTTGTTTCATTCCAAATGGGAGAACATTCCATTCGTAATGTTTTTGTGGTGGACATGAAAAGGCTGTTAAAGGTTTGGTATTCTCATGTAGACGAAGTTGCCAATATCCAGATTTAGCATCTAAACTACTAAACCACGTTTGACCTTTTAATCTTTCTAATATATAGTCTTTCCTAGGTAGTTTATAGCTATCTCCTATTGTTTGTTCGTTTAGTTTTTTATAGTTTATTACCATTCTTCTTTTTCCTCTTTTGATTTCATTATTATTTTCTACATAAAAGGCTGGTGCACTGTGAAGACTTTTACTTTCTCGTATTATTCCTTTTTCAGCTAACTCTGAACATTCCTTTTGGAATTCTTTTACATCTCGTTGAGTATATTGAATTTTGTTAGGGACATTAGCTTCCATTTTAGGATCTTTTAGTTTAATTTCGATAAGTTCTTGATTGGTATTTTTATCTTTATCTAAAGGATGTTCACTACACACCTGTTCTAAAGTATCCTCTAGAATGCTATAAGTAATCTGTATATATTCTAGTCTATTTTTGAGGTTTTGAAGCACAATTTTTAGCACTTCATTTTTTGTGATTATTCTTGTTGTGATTATCTTAGATTCCTGGTCTATTGTTTTAGGACATCTAAGGCTGATTGTTCTAATCCTTTGGATAAATGGTTGATATAATTTTAGAAAGTTATTTCCTATTATTATATCTAGTCCTGAGTCATGTTGATAGATTGTTTTAGCTGTGAAGATATGTTTTTCAATGATTATTGGTACATATTGTTTTACATACCAAATTTCATGGATAGATTTGTCTGCCACTATAATTTTTAAAGGTTTTTCAAGTTTATCCCATTTTTTTATGGTTGATTTTTTTGGCAAAACATAAGGTTGCCCCTGTATCAATATATGCTAAGAAGCTTTTCTTCTCTATTTCTATTTTAATAAATGTTGCGTTAGGATTGCCCTTAGTTATAACCTTCTTCTGACTCATCTGAAGAGGTTTCTGAGGTTGAAATATATTCAATAATTTCTATATCGGATAGTTCAAAATCTGTTTCTTCGATTGGTTCAAAACCACAATCGTAAGCTAATCTAAGGACTTCTTGTTTTCTAGTGTTAGTATTTTTCTTAGGACATCTATTTGCGTAATGTCCTTCTTCGTTACATAACCAACATCTACAATTTGTTTTTCCTTTAGGACAGTATTCTTGTTGTCTTGATTTTTGTTTAAACTTTTTTCTATTTCTGAAATATTTATTCGGTTTTCTAAACCTATTTTTTCTATATTCCTTGTAAGGTATTTTTCTCTATTTTTTATAATTTCTATATTTTTCCGAGTTTTAATGATCTTACGATCATTATTACACCCATACTTTCCAACTCTGTCCATTGTTTGTTCACAACATAGTTTAATTTTAGCTTCTTTCTTTAGTTTTTCCTTATTGCAAGCTTGTTTATGCCATTCTTGTAAAACTAATATTCGTCCTCCTAATGTATTTGGTATCTCTTCTTTAGCCAAAGTTTCATTAAAGGTAGCTTCAACTTTTTCAGAGACATTAGGTGGTAATTTAGCATAGAGTAATTTATCCATCTCTTTTCTTATCGAAGGGGTGACTTGATAATAATGTGTTCTGAATTCACAAATAAATGGTTCTAAGAAGCACATGTTGCAAATTCTAAGATTAGTTAAATGCCAAATAGCTTGTTGACTTATGGTTGTGTTTGGTTTATCTTCTCGAGGATGTCGTCCTAAGAATTCATGAGTTATTGCATTTAAGACTTTTTCAAAGGTATTCGTCGCATCCGTTGTTCCATATAACGTTGTCTTAGTAGGAATATCCATGTTGTTAAGATAATGATAAACTGCCCCAGTTGTTTTATATATTAAGAAATTAAACATTTCATTAGGGTGTAATTTCTTTAGATCTTCATTAGTTTGTATTAGTAATCATGTTCGATTTTTCCAGTCTTCTAATTCTTTTAATGGGTTGACGCAACAATCAAGATCTAATATATCAGGATTGTTAAAACTAGTGGTGGAATATTTTGGTATGTAAGATTGAGGTATTTTACTCCATCCTCCCCCTTTGCGAGGTGTATACGAATTTTTATATAAGTATTCATCAAAAAATAGTTGACCATCTTTATAGTCATTAAAATCACGCTTTCGTGATGTTTCAGCTTGATCCTCAGTTTCAGTTTTCGTGTAATTTGTATTTGTGTAATTTTTATAGGGGTTTTCGTCACTACTATAGTCAAGAACTATTTTATCGTTTTCTATATTTTCTTCTATTTCTGGTTCTGATTCAATAGTAATTGCGGCTAGTAAATCGTTTAATTTATTAATCTGTTCGTCAATACTAGTCATAGAAGTTTGTAGGGTGCCATGATAGTTAATGGGATAGATTTTCCTGATTTATGCTCATTCAAATATTCTTTTATATCTTCAATTGTAATGCTTCTTTTATTATCTAATTTAATTATTATTTCTTGAAGTTTAATAATGACTTCCTTAAGATCTTCTACCGGTAATACTATTTCCTTAGAATTTGGAGTTGTTTTTCCCATTGCTATTTCTCTTTGTTTTATATCCACTATTATATTGGTAATTGTATCCTTAGCGTGTTCTAAATCTGAATATATATCTTTTTGTTTTTCATTACCTTGATATTCTAATATTGATTTTAATTGCTTATTATTGTCTTCTAATATATTTATTAGATTTCCTTGATATTCATCTATTTTTCTTCCTAATTTTTCTAGTTTTATCGAAATATTTTCAGTAGCCATAATTTGTCTATAAGGTGGATATTAGTTCAGCCATTTTGGATACGAGTTAGTATCTGCTAACAAAAGAGCTTGTTAGCATTTTAACTTTTGCGCCGACCCAGATGTTTGAAGGAGGTGAAGCACAAAGGCGCTGTGAATTCTGCTTACTTCTCGCCCTCCGGGGCCGCCCTTGCAACGCTAATGTATGTCATGTCAAGTCATGTCGCCGCCATAAGTTTGTAGTTACTGGTTGTGTTTGCATCATCTTATACTTACTACACCTTTTTTTCTGTTTTAGTTTGGATAACTACGTGGGGATATATACTGAACGTGACCAATTAGGATGTTTGCAACGTGCAAAGTTATGGCTCGGTTAAGTTTTTGGTTTGTAAGCCTACATATACTCGTGTAACATGTGAAGAAGAGTATCAGAAAATAAGAAAATCCTATAACTTGTGAGGAAGATTTTCAACATATACTAGTGTCATATTGATGAAACCATGTTAAAATTTTTTGATGTTCTTTACGTTTTAACGACACTTGCCAATTTGTACACTTTTGTCCTCATAATTTATCAATAGATTACATATATTCTTGTGAGATCCAAGTTTTACATAACCGTAGGACAGATGTGCTGTTAAATTAGTACACTATTCAGCGCGTAGTAAAGCCACTTTTGTCCTCAACAAGAAGAGTGCATGCGAGCGGGCGAGGAAATCAAACAAATAATAGCTTAATCATGAGTTGTTCCAGTCTGATTCTGATGGGTAGAAAGAAAACCAATGCGCAAACTCCATATTTATTCCCAAAATGGTGAAACTTAGAGTACCTATGTAGAAATGAAATACATCTCCAAGAGCGGATTGATTCCAACATAACAATAAGATGAGAACAAGTGGGCTAGGCTGAAAGACACGTACATCCGGAGTCCCAATTTTAAGTGTCTTCTAGATTAGATGGGCTGTCAATTTGGGCTGCCACTCAGTTCTGGCTCGAACAATCTCGGCCTTGTCGCACTGCAGACGAATGAGGTGGGTGAACTCCACCACGTCCGCTTTCCTATTGGCGTGGCTGCTGCTGCTGCTGGTCAGTGATTCCACCAAGTTTGACTGCCTGCACTCCCGTCGATACTCCAGCGTCAAGCTCATCAGATGGTACTCTTCCAGCACATTTATCGCCACACTCTGCATATGATGAGATGCATTTTTCTCATAACAAACAACAACAGAGCCTAGCTAGGATGGTTGAGAGATGTTTGAGTAATGAATTGATGGCTACCTCCAGAATCCACCCAATGTATTTGACGTTGTTGACGTGTTGATTAGCATCCATATCGCTCCATCTCGGCTGTCGTTTGCAGATTTCAGTTGAAGTAAGAAACATTAGCAAGCGTTCAAGGGAATAGACAGACAGACAGCCAGAGAGACAGACGTACAGCCAAATCGGGTCTAATTCGTTCGGCCGTGTCGTCGGAAAGCTTGTCGATTTTGTCCAAGTCGTTATCCTCAGCAGCGATGGCGACTCTGTTAATGTAGTAGGGAACCAGCTCCTCCCTGACCTGGTCGGGGATTTTCGACAGCCTTCTGGTTTCTCTGTTCATGATCACCCAGGTACTGCATTGCATTTTTTTGCAGTGAGAAACCAGCCACAGAATAGAAATTCAGTTTTCGTACTAGAGCAAATTCCGAACCTTGTCGCTCTTGTGATGATCTGTTTGGTATTGAAGTCTCGAATGATCCAGTCCCTTCTCATCCCGTTCTTCCCTGCCGCATCCACCCACGTGTCGATCTCCACGATATCGCCCCTGTCCAAATCAAACCACAACAACAGCCTTTACTTTAGAGGCAATCCTTCTGGAAAGGAAGATGAATTATTGAATTTGGGTTTAAACCCATAAATACCAGGAGCTATAACTCTGCACTTGAATGTGGATGCGAGTGACAACCCAAATCAGCTTCCGAAGGCTCATCTCCCTCGTGGCGCCAAACCCATCTCCTGCTATCCCAGAGCTCGACACGTGGTTCAGAGCTGTCTCCTGACAGATCCCGATCCTCTTATGTGTTAAGTCTTTCCACTTTCAAGTTTCAACTCATACAATGAACAGATTATGAGAAATTATGATACCTGGAGGAGATTCATCAACGTCTCCATCGTAGCAGTTTTATCGGGTCCGATTTCATAGGATCTGATGATGAAACTCTGCCTGTACACCAGCCTGTCCTCCACGAATCTTCCCATCAGGCAGCTATGGGGACTGTGGTGATCCACTTTGTAACCATCAAAATCAAACGGAGCTCCTCCTCCCTCCACTACTCTGGGGCTCCCATTCACCTTCTTCCCGTTCACCTTGTTCAAGTCCAAGCTCTGTGGATTGCTTCTGGAATTTGCTCTAATGATGGACACCCTTTTGCTCCTGTGGCGGTGAGATGGGATATGAATGCCTCCGGGCACGTGGCAGCAGAAATCCCTCCCTGAAATGGAACTGCCCTTTGTCGCCATTGATGCCATGAATGCTGCTGTGGGGAGTGGGAGGGATTCCTGACGACACCAATAGCCACTAGATATATGATATGATATGATATGAGATATCCCCTTCAAGTTAGGGAAGAAAAACGAGCAAAGTGGACTGACTGTGACTGGCTCTCTTCTACCAAATCATGTTTCATTGTGGGGAGTTTTAATTTCTTTCTTTCCGCAATTGGTTGGTCTAACTAGTTGATTATGTACAGAGGAGCAAGGGAACACTAATTAATTAATGAATGAATGAATGGATGAAGCAGTAGTGGCTGGAGAAGGGATTTGATTCTGATATTGCTAGAAACCGGGAGAGGATCCAGAAGCATTTGACTGGCGAGGGGACATAATTAGCAGCAGCTGAACAACTATTTTGGTGAGGTGAGGTGGGGGAATTTGTCTGTCTTGCACGCAACTTAATATTGGTAGTGTCTTCTCTTCTTGTTGTTGTTGCATTGCATGGTTTTAGGAGGTGGTAGTTATTCATTCGTTGAATTATTCGCTCATGAATTGCAAATTTGTAATCCCCTCAACCTAGCTAGATAACCCCCCAAAGGCCAAATGTACTGATGATGTTACTGTTTATTTCCCACCTACACTCCTCCGCTTTCTGATTTTCCACTTATGGTTGGTTTAGAAATATCAAATTGTTGGTTTGGATTATGGAGATGTGATATTTGGACTTGCTAGATAAGTTGAATTTCAAAATTAATGTTTTTTTTTTCATGCTCTCAATATCAATCTACGTTAACAATTTCGACCAAGCCTGGGAAGAGCTGCGCAGGAGATGGAAGCCACCGCAAGATCTTTGACTCTTCTCGGGATGATTCAATCTCGTCTCTTGAATTCATCTTCTTCACCATTCACGACTTCTCCCCCATCGAAATCCTAATTTTTAGTTGTATTCATATAATGAAAATAATTACTTTATTTTTTGCATAGAGAGTTCTATTTGGACTTTTAGCCCTCATTTGCCAATTTACTCTCTCTCTCTCTCTCACGTCATTGGAATTCATATTCTTCTCATTCACAGCTTCACGCCCTCTTAAATCCCATTTGAAGTCATCTTTAGATAATGAAAATAATTATTTTATTTTTGCGTAGAACTAATTTCGAATATGATGCCGCATTAGTCATATAGTCCAATTTACTCTAACAACTCATAAGTGTGGCGTTTTAACAAAAGTTTGACTAAATAGTTTCAACCTGTTTACTCAATAGTATATAAATTATCTTTGTGGTTTTTCTTGCTACTTTTGCAGTTATGTCTTATGAGTTCCATTTTGCTAATAATTTTCATATAACACATGGATAGTGCTATCTTCAACTCGCTACGAAGTGCTAGTGAGAGAGCCATATCTAGTACACATTATAAGATTATGAATCGGAATTCCACATAGTGCAAAAAAGGGGTTAATTGCATGGTTGGTCACTGAGATCAAAAAAAATGTTCAAGTTTGGTCACTCGAAATATTTAAATCCATTGGTAGTACTTCAGCTTAATGAAACCGTTCACGTTTGGTCACTCTCCGCCCAACTCTGTTAACTTTGGCTGATGTGGCAGTCAACTCTCAAAGTTGACCGTTAACTTAGTGACGTGGCAATTAAGAAATAATAAATAAAATAAAATTTAATATATTTTAATGTCCAACTCATTTTTATCATAAAATAAAATAAAAAATATATTTTAATGGCCATCTCAGTGACCAACCATGAAATTAACCCGTACAAGAGAGACTTGTTTTTAAACTTATCCAAGTTCGTGTAATATAACGCAAGAGAAAAGGTATGCAAACTCGATGGCTAGTGTAGGTCTTTAACCAAGAGAGAGTCAAAGGATGCCAAGAGTGCACTCTCCGGAGAAAGTTGTTACTTATTCAAAAAATACAATTGTCGCAACCGTCCCTCCGGGGGTCGAGGTCGTCGCGTTCGCTTTTTGGGAGTCGCCATCGATCTTACTTGGAGTGGATCGAACACTCATCAGTCGGCTCTAACATTAGGTCAGAACCGGGGCTTGGTCTGCGAATTAGAAATATAGATATCTAGGTTCGGGAGTACGGTTATGCGTGGGGAAGTTAAGCAACACCCCCACAACGTCCTAAATCGGTACTACTTAAGTCGATAAGTTTTTATGCGAGTTGGGTGTATTTTAGTAATAATTTTGTAAATTACGTATAATAAAATGAACTTGTCACTGCTAGTCTCAACTCATATGCTATTAGAAAGAAAATTTGATATATCACTAGACTTATTGACTTGTCACTGCTAGTCTCAACCGAATTGATATAGAACTAAATAAAAGTGAACTTGGAAATTATTAGTACTTAGTGACTTGCAATTGCAAACTCAAATCAATTGCTCCCAAGCATTCTATTTACATTATCAATATCGATTTTCTCCTTTCGAGTTTTAAGTATAGTGTGTGCCCCGGACAAAATGTGGTGTCTACAACAACAATAAATAAATAAGTATTCTAAAGTACTATATATGAACACGCTTCTTTGATGTCATAAGCTAGACAAAGGTTGGAAGGAGTCTAAGGGGACTAGATAGATTACCTCGACAGATGGGTCAACATCTCCTTTGAGGTAGAGCCTGAGACGATGACTATTAACCTTAAATGTACCCCTCTCCAGATTTGAGATTTCCACACCCCATATGTACCCCCTTTTATGTAATGTAGAATGTCTATGTCAAACTGTTGAAGAAGAATCCACCAGATGAGTTTGGGCTTAGCATCTTTTTTCATTAAGTAGCAAAAAGTCGAATGATTTATCAATTTAGACGACTCACCAAATAAGGACGATCAACTCATTTCCCATAGTTGTGTAGTTCTCTTTGGAATCTGATTCGGGCCCAAATGTACACATTTCACCCCTCATTTCTTATTCGTTTAGCTTAGTATTTCATCATTCCTCGACATATTTTACGCTAGGTTGTGCTTGTTTTGATACATTTCAGGTCCTAGCACATGTGGAAGGGTCGAGGACGAGTTTTGGGATATTTGGAGTTCAAAACGCGCGAAAACCAAAGAAAAGTCCGAAGACAATTGCCCTGTAGTAGTGAATTGAAGGTGTCCAAGAAACAGCCGCAGTTCACGGCAGGACGAGACAGTTCACGGTCTCCTAAGACCGTGAACTTCAACCACAAAACGTGAACAACGAGGCATCCAGTGGGGTTCCTGAAGTTACTGACGACAAGGCAGTTCACGGTCTTAGGGCCATTAACCGTGAACCCAGGGCAGTCAAGCGGTGTGTTTTGGACGACGGTGAGTTCACGGACACGTTTAGGTGTTCACGGCCGTGAACTGGCCAACGCGTCCGTGAACTTGTCACTTTCGGGCAAATATGAAGACAGCAGCGGGGAGAGAGAAAAGAGATCTGGTTTTTTTTAGAAGAAACACTTTCTTTCCCTAGGGTTTCAACCTAAAACACCAAAGGGGAGTTCTAGTGAGAGAGAGGGAGTGCCAGAGTGATCTTGGAGCATCATTGGAGGCTTGGGTGGAAGATTCAAGCCTAGAAGAAGAAGAAGATCTTGAGCTCAAATTTGCAATCCCTCTCTCTCTCTCTCTCTCTCTCTCTCTCTCTCTCTAGAAACTCACTCTTTTCTCTTGGGTGTTGTAGATCCCTAACTAATACTTTGTAATTACTTGTTTAGATTGAATGATTGTCATTGGGTAGTGTTTAATTCAAGGACTAGGTATTATTCATGTCGATTGTGCATGCTTGTTCTTAGCAACTTAGGGGTTGTGCATATTTTGTGCTTAGCATCCTAGGGATTGTGCATAATTGTGCTTAGCACCCCTAAGTTTATGCATTTAGGTGTTAGTAATCTAATTTGCCACCTTAGCCTAGTTTAGAGAGGAAAATACCCCTTTCAAGGGAGACTCAATCGAGTTGGTTTTCCTTCCGCTTTCTAAGCCACCTAAACTAGGTTGAGTTAGGGCAACCCTCAATATTGAATTGAACAAGTCGATTAATCGTGGTTAAACCGAGAAGGTCTAGTGACACGGCCTTTCATTCTCACCTCGGTTTAGCAATTGAGACTATGGTCTCCGACCACATACGCTTTCCTCTGCGGTTCACAATTAACGTGCCCAATGCAATCGTTCCAATCCAACGAGTCATGGTAGCAAGTTAGGGGGAATCGATTCCTGGGTGAAGCTCCCTTAGTTAGGCTTTTCCTTTATTTACTTTTCTGTGCTTGGTTAGTTTGTAGTTCCAATAAACCTAAACCCTAAAGTTGTTTGCTAGATAACAATTTAAGCGATCGAAGTAGGGGTACATGGACCGGTCCGTGTTGACAATTTAAATCTATCTATCTTCTACTATACTTATAATACGCCGAAGGGAAAAACGGGAGCCCCATTTCAAATTTCCTGCAACGAGAGTGAAAGTAGGAAGGACATTTTGGTCTTCACAATTACTTTTTTTTATTCATTAAAAAGATACGTACTGGGATTCGAACCATGACCATTTTAAAGAAAGGCAAGGATCATAACCAATCACACTAAATACATTTGTTGTATCCTTTTAAATTAAAAACATATAATAACAGGGTGGAAAAAACTCTTCCCCCATTTCAAATTCCCTACTCCAGGAGCGTTTGTAGGAAGGGTAGAATAGGGAGTGTCAATTTTTTTCTCTTTCCTCTGTGGAACAGGCCAACTTACCGTACACATGCGGATCTAAACGGGTCCAGGAGTGTCAATTTTTTTCTTTATACCCTTTTATTTCTCCGTGGTGATAAAATATATATGAAAAAGCAAAAACAATATTTCTTTTTATTGCTAAAAATAAAAATTTTAACAATAAACTAATGCATGGTATCTAATGGGCTAACCGCTAACCATAAAATAAAAGAGTTGAATGAGCTTGATCTACACGGGATTTGGCTATCAAGTAAAACAAATGAACATCATTGGTTTGACATTCTAAAACAAGCTATTTTCTCTGGCATAATATATATTATGCTATTATTTTATATCTTAGTGGCTAAAATATAATGTATTTTAAAATTATTCAATGGTTCAACCTCGACCAACCCAATTAGTCTAATTTTTATCATTTCAAATATATATTATATAATTATTTGATATCATAATGATCAAATTATAGTGTATTTTATAGGGAATCGTTTGGTATTTGTTAGTAAAAAACTAAACATAAAGATCTATTTGGTTATTTTAAACATTAAAACGATCATAAACATTTTCAGTTCCTTTTGAATTTCTATGGTTTTATTCCCGATTAAGTGATGTGCAAATGGCGAATTGCAGTCATCTCTTTTCTTTCACTATTTTTTATTTTCAAATAGAAAGTTTAAAAGTAACGAATAATTAGAATTTGGCATGGGTCGGTCAAACAGGCCGAATTTTAAGTTTTGGCCCGTTTTAAATAAGTCTAATTTATAATCACATGGTTCCCTGATACCCGATAAAAATCTCAATCCAAACCAGTTTGGCAGGTGAGTCCGTGCTTACCACCATTTTCTAGGAATACGACAACGGCGGTTCCTATCCAAAATCGTGTTGTTCGTTCTTGATTTCCTTAGATTTTTTCATGGCCTGACAAAAACCAGAAAGTACAATGACGACGACAAGATGAAAGTTTTATAAAGCAAATTAATGGTGTTCTCTTTCTGATCTCATGTAATTATATAATGAAGTTGAAGTTTTTCGATGCTATTCAATTTCATTGGTATGTTTTTAATGGTCTAACTTCATGGTTGTAACAACTTCCGATGTACTGTTTATGTTCCAATATATTCACTTTGGTATGATTATTAGGGATATGCTAGGCGGTACTCACCATTAGGCCAATTTAGCTTAATGGTTGAATCTACGGGTTATCCCAATAATTCAATATTCGGCTCAGCTCCTCCGACCAACGGGTCGGGTTATAAGCTAGTACTTTCTCTATATTGCACCCGGCTGGAGTTTAAAAACTTGGGCTCTAGTCGGGATTAATTTCGGTAACATACGTTTCTCCTTCTCACTTTTCATTCTTCTTATTTTGTCTTTCCCTCCTTTAAATACTTTATCTATATTTTTCCTCCTTTAATTTTGCACGTTTCAGTAACATACGTTTTAGATAATAACGAAATGGTCATTCCGTCCATCTCCATCCAAAAATCCGTTAGTTTCGTCCAGTCAACACGCCACGTCACTTAAAATATTAATAAAAAATTTAATGACCGAACCTAATTGATTCCAAATGGGAAGTAAGTATTTGTATCCTATTAGTAAAATGTCTTATTTGAAATTCAACCGATCCCCGGTTTTCTTCTTTAAATAACTGACATGAATGCATTTTTTATCATACAAAGAAATCCCCTCTTTCTTGTTTTTTTCATTTTTGTGTGATATATTTTTTTTATCAGTAATAATACTATACCACCAAAAATCTTTGATACAAATTAATAAAAAAGAAAAATCTTGGAAGGGCGCGGTCCATAATTGCTTTTGAGAGATGAAGATCAACAGACTCTTCCCTCCATGGCCATGGTAGTGGTTGAATTTTTTATTAATATGTTACTGACCAATTTCCCTTCTCACTTTTCGTTCTTCTTATTTTGACTTTCCCTCTACAATTTGTCTCTACCAAAATGAAAATCTAAGGAGAAAAAATTCATCACAGCTTGACGAACCATCGTTTCAATTTCTTTATTAGTAAACTTGATTTCCATCTCCCATAAGCTGTTGTTTATAATATTAGTGCTTGTCTAGATTTTTCATATGGAAATAAATTAGGATTATTGATTGAAAACCCTTACAAATTTTTGCCATGAGCCTTAATTCATATATTTTTTGTAAACAAAAAGTTTATACATCATACATAAGAGAATTAAACTTTAGTTTATTTTTTATATATATAGAAATGACTGGTATACTCCTAGAGTATACCATACTCAATTTTTCTTACTGTTGTAAAATACCGTCCATTTTGTTTTTGCTTGATATATATTGTCGCCCAACTTTTTCCTTCCGGCTACAAAAGGCCGCCCAATTTTTGTTTGGATTGATCTATATTGCCACTCAGTTTGTCGTCCAAAAATGTTGAGATAGGAAAAAAGTATTTTTCTTCTTTGCTTTTATAGTGGTGTTTTGTTTTCTGATTGTATGGTTTGTTAATAGTGTCTATTGGTTGCAAATGTTGATATCACCATTAATATTAGCTAGTGTACTTTACCAATTACGATTCATTACATGAGAAGTTTGCAAATCATACAAATTGATTAAACATTTTGACTAGTTTTTTAAAATTTTTTAAAGTATATCGACAAGGTAGAAAGAAATTTGTTAAAAATTGCGAAAAATATTTTAAATCAGTGTAATAAAATGTGTACGTTGGTAGCGAGTAAGAAGTAAGTAACTCGATGCGTTGATCTGAACAACCCGCAACCCGATCCGCCCGCAACCCTCCCAACCCAACCCCGATGAACCTGCAACACAATTTGACTGCAACCCAACAAACCCGTAACCCGATTCAACTCGAACCATAAACCCGACCAACCCGCAACCTGATTGAATCAGTTCGAACCTGCCCGATTGATGTCTAATATGGCTGGGAAACGGTGCGGTCTGATCCAGACCACGCCATATAGACGGTCTAGGGTCCAGACCGAGAGACTAAAGTATACACCAGAGACCATACCACATACTATACGGTCCAGACCAGACCACGCCTGTGCTGTTTGGTCCGGTACGGTCTGATCCAGACATACCATATTGAACAAAAAATGAACACTTTGTTAAGTCAACCACACTAAAAGTTTAACCAATAACTGAGGGGAAATTTTGTTTTTTTGCCTTAAAACATTAAGTCCAACATGCATGAGTAATTTTGATTCCCTAAATCTTAGTAAATAACAAAGACACAAAGTCGAAGAATCCCAACTCGCACCATAACATCACAAACATTAGCATAATGTCATATGGAGACACGACCATCTCTATTCTCTAGTGAAATGTGGTTGTCAGTGAAGGAGGGGGCGAGATTCTCAAAATTAAGGTTGAGACTTGAGTCTCGTTGGGGGAGTTTGGACTTGGGAGAGTGGTCGAGTGAGATACTAACATGTATTGAGAAGTCGGCTAGATCCACGGTTTGGTCCGGTAAACCGCGGTCTAGACCATACCAGACCAAGGTATCAAAACTTCATATAGTACAGACCATAGACCAAATCAGACCTTCTTCACAATCTACGGTCCAAACCAAACTGTGCGATTTGGTTTGATCCACGGTTTTTCAAACGGTATGGTCTATTTTCTCGGCCCTAATCTCTAATAGCACTATTACTTGCACCCTAGAAATGAGGTTTTCAGCTTGGGCTTGAAAGTGTCTTAGTTGGAGAACGGCCCAATAAGGTTGCAAAAAACATGTAACTCGGCCTGCCTTTCGGATTGGCCCGGAAAGATGTTTGTGAATGTGTCGGCTCTGCCGACGTCGCCGTGAGACAAGCCGAGAGAGGTGGCACCGACCTTGTCATATGAATTAACGTGAAACGTGGCTTCCCCCACGAGGAAAAAGCCAAAAAAAACCCAAATTAAAATGTCGATTAATCAAATGGTGAATTACGATTAAGAAAGCACAACTCATTACACAAAGCAGAGTGCGAGTGGTCATTCAATTCAGTAATCGATAAGCTATTTAATTAATTTGCGATGCCCTCTGGAGAAGGATCAGACGGTTGCCTTCACTTCAATTTGTTTGATCTGGCCCACGGACAGGGGAACCCATCTGGACGGTTCTAAAATCTAGTTCCACTTCCACCTTTGGAAGGCAGAATCTGATACTAGCTCCGCAACTCATCTTCCGCCACGTTTCCTCGTCCTCTCGTAGTGCTTCATCTCCTTGTATAAAATGAGGACTTCATTTCCATCTCGCTGCCTACCAACTCTCCAGTTCTCTGTAACTCTCACTCCTCTGCTTTACTCTTCTCCTCCTACCTTGAAAAACCAAATACCCTTCCTTCTTCTTCTTCTTCTGTTGGCCTTGTCTGTGGCTGGGCAGTCGCCTTGAAGAAATCAAAACCTCAAAGATGAGCCGTTTCTGGACATTCCTTACCCACGTTCACACTGTTGCCGGGTAATTAAAATCCCCCTCTTTCTTATCACTTGGGTAGTTTCTGGGTTGCGCCCCATTCGATCTTTGCTATCCCCGCCCGCCTGTAATTTGATCGGATGCTTCTCTTTTCTCCCCCTTTGTTTTCCCTCTGGATGCAGGCCGGTGACGATGCTGCTTTACCCTCTGTAAGTAGTGACCATCTGCTGCCCTAGCTAGTCAGCTCTGTTAAATTCTCTGTCATTTCAAAATTGGTCCGATTGAGAATCCCCAGAGATGGGTTTCAAGTGAAAATGACTTGTGGTGCGGGAATCAATTGTTAGGTATGCGTCAGTGATGGCGATAGAGAGCCCTGGTAAGGAGGATGATGAGCAGTGGCTTGCGTATTGGATCATTTACAGCTTCTTAACCCTCTCCGAGATGCTGCTCCAGTCCGTTCTCGAGTGGTATGCTGCCTTTGTTCGGTTACCCATTAATCTCGGAGAATGAATTGTGAATCTGTTCAACGTTTGATTCTGATCAGTGCTTGTTATTGTCGCGTAGGATTCCAATATGGTACACGGCGAAGCTGGTGTTGGCAGCGTGGCTGGTTCTGCCGCAGTTCAAAGGGGCGGCTTTCTTGTACGAGCGATTCGTGAGGGAGCACATCAGGAAGCATCTCACTAACAAGAGCAGTGGCGCAAAGGGCAAGAACAAGTTCGTTCAGTTCGTTGCCCCCAAGAAGGTAAGCTGCTGCTGCTTGCTTTGCTTCTCACATTACGTTACGCCACAAACTTTTCTTCTTTGACCTTGTGTTGAGTAAGCTTTTCTGGCTCCGCCTTTCTTTTCAGGGAGAGCAAGAGGCTTACTGAACCGGGAGGAACAGATTATGACGGCCAAACTGAAAAATCGTTTAGTAGAAATGGTGATTAGTTTCTGCTTTATTGTAGTTGTTTCTTCCTTCTATTGCAGGCTGCTGTTTCCTTTCAGAGTTTGATTTGAGGTATGGGATTGTAACGAGAACAAGAACCATTTCTTAGGAGCAAGCATGCATATTATCTGTACAAAAGAGAAGAAAAGAGTTCCCACTTTGGCACATGAATATCACAAGGGCATTTTGCCTGTGTAACCATGCTTTATATATATTTTTAAGAAAAAGTTGTGCCGGCTGGTGTTTTTGTGGATGAATAACTCTCCCCTCCCTCTAGCAGCAGCCAATGCCCAGCAATTTCCAACGCTAGAATTACTTGTTTCACCCCCTCCATTTCCTTAACATTATATTGTAAGGATAAAGCAAGGAAGTATGTGGTAGTTGTTTGGTCAAGCCATCAACCAACATATTCGATGAAAACGTACTTGATGGATTGTGAGAGGCAACCTCAGATGTCCGTTGGATTTGAACTTCCTTGATTGATTTCTCCCTTCATCAGCTTGGTGATTGCCGTGGTAATAGAGAACAAGATTGATGCGAGAGACATTGCAGCACCAACATGATGATCTTTGTACCAGAAGACACATGGGAGCTGTTGCTGCAAATGGAAGATGATGAAGTCTGCAGAGAACGTGACGTTCTCCACTAATCCGGAAACCAGTTGCTGGTTCAGACCGTTGGCGTTTCCATTATTCAAGCACGAAGTTATTTACTGCAGCAGCAGCAGCAGCAGCGGTGTTTCATTTATCATTGTATATATACCAGCTTTTAACACTTTATTAGCAGATCGGATCAGGATCTTAAATAGAAACTTTTTTTATTACATCTTAAATAGAAACTTAATTAGCATTGTAAATAAACTCTTAGTGGTTAATTTGTAAAAACTAATAGGAACTGGTTAGAGTGCTAATTTTATAGTGTTAGCACCGTACTAACCATTATAATCATCATTCATTATATTTTATTGGGTTATAGGTATAATATGTCTCTCTATTATGGCGTTTTATCAAACATGTCCCTCTACTATTTTTTACATCAAACATGCCCCTGTACTTTGAAAAAATTATCAAACATGCCCTTCTGTTAAATTTTCCATTCAAAAATTCGTCAATCATGGTTGAACCGAGATTTAGACGACCCGACATCTACAAATGGGAGCGAAAATGTCAGTTTTGTATCCCGTTTTATTTCTCTGGGTCTCTTCAAAGTGAAATTATTTGAATTATTTGGCTATACAAAAAAACCAAAAAAATTCTAAAGTGAAATTATTAGGAATCTTTTAGACATTTGTGTCACCCAAACCAAAGTTCGGCTTTTGTTAACGGATTTTGGATGGAAATTTTAACAAAAGGGCATGTTTGATCATTTTTTCAAAGTACAGAGGCATGTTTGATGTAAAAAATAGTTGAGGGGCATGCTTGATAAATCGCCATAGTAGAGGGGCATATTTTACCTCTAACCCTATTTTATTTAAAACTGACGGTAGAGAATGAGGAGGGGCATATTCGGTATATATAAAAAATAATTTAATTAATAAATTAAGATTTAAAATATTTTATCTTCTTTTTAGTAGAGAACTATTTTAGATGTGAAAAATATTACTACCGTAAACTACTACTACATTAATTGTAGGGATGGCAATGGGTCGGGTTGGGCGCGGATAGTGCATATCCATTACCCTACCCATAGTAGTTCGGGTTTTACCCATACCCATACCCACATGCAAAATGGGTAGAAAATCAAAATCATGCCCATACCCGTTCGGGTTTCGGGTATCCATGGTTATCCATGGGTAATAATTTATCTTCATAACTCCAACCAATATGTAAACATTCACACGTATTCTCACATTACATAAGAGGAAAAGTAGACAATAATTCACATAGATGAAGAAAATTAATTAAAACTATACAATTTCATGAAAATATTATATTTATATGCTAAATATAAAATATGTTAGAGAAAAATAATGATTATTTCGAGACAAAATACATATGCATGTGTATAATCGGGCGGGTTCGGGTTGGATAGTGAGAAACCCATGCCCACCCATTACCCGCAATATTCGGGTTCGGATTTTACCCGTACCCACTAAATGTCCTTCGAGTTTGGGTTTTACCCTACCCGATTAGGCCGGATTCGGGCGGATATCCACGGTTACGGATATTTTTGCCATCCCTAATTAATTGGTAGTGATTTTGGTGGTTGTATTAACAATTTTATTTGTTCTTGTAGTGATTTAATTGTAATCAGTAGTAATTTAGAAATTTTAAATTACTCATAATGAGTGACCTTTGGAAAGTAATGATAACATAATCACTACTAATATGATTTGGTAGGAGGAAACCACTATTGAAAAAAATCTACGACGCAATCACTGCTAATACGAGCCACATCACTACTACATAATCACTACTGGAAAAACGTTATCAAATCTGTAAAAGCGCTACTAGTACTACTGCTATATATCATTGTTGTGAGAATCATTATCACATATATGAAAAACCAGTACTACAAATCTAGATAAAACCAAAACCTCACTTCTAATCACTACTACAAACATCAATTGTTTTTTCTTCTATTTATTATAATCCTTCGTCATCAGTGCCCAAGCGCATCTCACCCTCGGCGATCCACTTCTCCCAAGGTCGATTTGAACGAAAGTTTCCCTATAACTGGCCATCATTATCTAGGTTGGATTCCAATTTGAAGAATCTGATGACGACCCTCTCGATCTCTCAAAGCCGTCGCCGCTAATTTCCTCCTCAGTCGCCATCGATGTCCCTTCTTCACTAGTCGCTGCCTACCTCGCCGCCGCCATCGCCCTCGATGAAGCTTTGTGTCTTTGGTCGCCCGTGAGGAGATGGAGATCTATGACGTCTTCTCCTTCCCCGCTATTTCCAATGACCACGTCGCTAGTTGGTGGAGGAGAAAAATGGGGGAGTGTTTGTGATCATCACTCCATTCGTTGGAGAAGGAGAAAGGGAGAACATGGCGGTTGTAGTTTGTGGAAAACGTGATGGGAGGCGGACGGTTTTCAAAGAATGAGGAGAGGCGGCGAGAATTATGCATACATATATATATATATGGGTTTATGAGGAACGATTAGTTTTTTACTAAATTGGCCTTTAATTATTAAATATTGCTCATAGGATTAAGTTTGTATCTAACGGTGGAAAAGCTGGTTAGCATGGTGCTAACCCTTAAGGAGTTAGCACCTAATTCCATTCCAAATTAATGTAGTTATTAGTTTTGGAAAATAAACTGTTAGTGGTTAATTTGTAAAAACTTAATTGCTAAATTAAAAACCTAAATATTATTATTTTTCTAAAACTAAAGCAAGGACTTTCTGTTAGCAAAAACTAATGATTTGGAAAAGTAGCTTGATTAGAGTTATTGATCGTTTGCACTCCTCATTCCATCTTTATTATTTTTAGGGTTATAGGTATAATATGCCCGCTCTACTATGACGTTTTATTAAAGATGTCACTCTACTATTTTTTACATCAAACATGCATCTGTACTTTGACAAAATTATCAAACATGCCCTTCTGCTAAAGTTTTCATTGAAAATATCGTCAATCATGGTTGAACCGAGATTTAGACGACCGGACATCGGCAAATGGGAGGGAAAATCAGTTTTGTCCCCTGTTTTATTTCTATGGGTCTCTTCAAAGTGCAATTATTTGAATTATTTGGCTATACAAAATAACCAAAAAAATTCTAAAGTGAAATTATTAGGGATATTTTAAACATTTGTGTCGCCCAAACCAAAGTTCGGCGGTGGTTAACGGTCTTTGGATGAAAATTTTAACAAAAGAGCATGTTTGATAATTTTTACCAAGTACAGGGGCTTGTTTGATGTAAAAAAAATAGTAAATGGACATATTTGATAAAAGCATCATAGTAGAGGAGCACATTATACATTAATTCTTATCTTTATTTAATACTTCCCTAATCTATATTTTAGCCTTCATTCCCCTTCTCTCCCATCTCTCATTCACTAGCACAGGGTTTGTCGAGCAATTTAGTATATAACAATGGATATAATAGATTATTTTAAATGCATGAAATGATTGTTTTCTACTTTAGTTATGCACATAACATTTTTTGAAAGTGATCCAACTATGCATAATGTGTTTAGACCTATGAAAAGAAAAAAAAATATAAGCATTACAATCAATAATTGAATGAAAAAAGAAATAAATATAACTAATCGTTATTCATTATTTTATTAAACCATATAGTTGAATAATAGAGTTGCTTCTCATAATACATACATAATCAACCTTTAGAATGAAAGAAAATGCATGTCTCTCATAAAGTTAAGTATGTCGTTTAAGTTTTTCTCAATAGACAACAATTTTTTTATCACACCGTTGGTAATGAATTTGAAGTTGCTTGATTTAAAATATATAGGACATGATGCTAAGTTATTGATAACGATGTAATTGCATGATTTTATACCCCTATTTCTTATCCATTTGCGGGGCATAGTTGTGTGTTTTGGCCTATTTTACGCCGGGTTGTGCTATTTTGCCCTATTTCAGGTCCCAGGCGTCGAAGGGAAGGCCAAGCGCGAGTTTCGGAGCATTTGGAAGTCGTTTGGTCGAGCCACGACCAAAACACGGGCAGGAGGCCTTCAGAACACGGCCGTGCTCCTGGCCGTGCTTTTACTGCCGAGGCTCTCCATGTGTGGGCTACAACAGCTAAAAAACACGGGCGGGGTCAACCAGAACACGGCCGTGTCCCACACAGAACACGCCCGTGTTTTCCCCAGCCCGTGCCCGTGTAATTACCACGTGGCAGAGAGCACGGGCGGGCTGGACCAGAACACGGCCGTGCCCTCGACCGTGTTCTGGCCAGTGATGCCCTTTTAGGCAGATTTCAGCCAAAAAGAGAGGGGATTCGAGTTTTAGAGAGACAGAGCGATTCCTAGAGAGAGAAAGCGACGAACAAGAGTCTCCAAGTGCCCTAGCTTAATCTTCATCACCATTGGAGCTTGGCTTGAGCTTGGAGAAGTGCCGATCAACGTCCAGGAGCTGAAATCCATCCTTCACGGTATGGTTTCCGCATCTGATTCTGCTTTTGCTTCTTTCTCCATGGAGTAGTTCTCCCATTCATCTGGGTGTGGGAAACCCTAGATCTGTATGTTAGGATTGATTGTATGAAACCAAGTACTGTTTCTATGATTTGATTATATTCGATTGAGGTTTGAATGATTGAATGCATGAATCCTGATCAAATTCCTGTTGTTTCTGCTTTAACCTAGAATGAGAATATCTGCCTAGGTTGATAGAGCATCCTTAA